TTTTATTTTCTAAATCTTCCCCAAACCCTTTCAACCCTCTCGAAACCCATTTAGGTCCAAAACAGAATCAGAAGGAGAAGAGATAGAAATTCATAGCAAAAGTCAAATAAATTAAGATTGCTTCTCACCGGTTGTTGAACGAAGATGAAGTGAAAAACGATTAAAGCCGCAAACAAACCAAGTGCGAGCCAAAAGATAGACGAAGTGAGGTCGAAAATTTTAAAACGAAGCCGCAAGAAGGTTGAGATGAAATGAGCTTCGTTTTCTTTTCCGCGTGTTGATCCACTCTGTTTTCACCTTTTTCCATTTATTGGGTTTTTATGGAGATATGGAAAGGGTTGGTAATAAAAAGAAGTGATACCTGATGTCTTGTGTCTTGTTTTTTTTTTTTAAATAAGTTTTTTTGCTGCCATTCGTTTCATCAAATAGGGGCATATTAGGATTGGATGATGGGCTTTAATTCTAACCCATATGACTCCAATTTAGGGCCACTCGCCCATGATCCAGCTCCACCGTGTTTGGCAGCTGTGTTTTTGTAGAGAGGGGATGGGATGTTAAAGCCTAGATGATCCTCATATATTTTCTTACCAACTTTTAAATTCCAACACCATCCCCCTATTTGTGTATTTTCTAAGTTCTTTTTTTTCTTTTGTTTTTAGAGTTTTTTTTCTTTAAAATCACTATTGTTCATAATTTTGTTAAGTTTTCCTTTTTTTATATATTTTTGCCAAATGTTATTTGATTTGTCTAAGTTATATCTTGACTATATTTTGGTCATTACTTCGTATTTAGCTGGATTTTTTTTTCGATTTTAATTTTATTTCATTTTTCGGTCAATGACGAAATCTTAAGAACTATTATCGATCAAATTATTGATAGATAATAGTTTATCCGAGACTATTTTTATTTTTCTATCTCATTTTCTTTTCATTTTCATTTTCGTTTTATTTTTCGGACCGATGAAGTCTCTGATTCGTAAAGGTTATTTTTTTGAAGTAGTTAAAAGCTTCATTATTTCAAATCTATAAAAAATGACCATTTGGGTCATTTTCTCTACTTTGGAATCGTGAGAGGTTTCCTTCGGTTAGTTAACATGAAGTTTACGATTAAGACGAGGTTTAAACTTTATTTTTAAATTTCATCTCGGTTTTATTCAATTTTCAAGTGATCAATGAAGTCTTTGCATTCGTAAATGTCGACTTATCGAAGTCGCTAATCTTCATCATTTCAAATCTGTAGAAAATGATCCAAAGGATCACTTTTTATACTTTGGGATCGTGAGAGATTACCTTTGATTAATTGACGCTAGTTTATGATTAAGACGAGATCTCACTCCTTTGGACCTTTTCAATTTCACTAATTATTAACCTCCGACTTACATTTTTCTAAATATCTCACTGTTTTTATATTCCCGCACACATTTTTCTGTTTACACTTTTTGTTGATGTTATTTTGTCCATTATCTTGTTCATATTATCGTTATTGTGCATATTTCATCCTGTCATATTATACATACTATCATCTACCCTTCCCTTGTTTATGTCATTCGAAATACCAAAAAATGATGAAATTGTCAAAACCTCATAAACCCTAGTTTGGATATTTTGTCTGAACTCTTTCCCATTTGCTTAGCTTAGGACACCTCGCACACACACGGATTTATCTTGGACTACCTTACAATGAGACCATTTATTTCTTACAATCCCTTGTATTTTGTATGTATCCCTCTCCCGTTACCATGTAATAGCTTAGTTCTTTTCATACTTGCTTGCTAATTGCTAAGAAAGATAAAAGCGAATTAGGTTACATCATATTTTCAAAATAAATAAAAAATAAGGCTTGATCCAACGTCAAGCCATTTTTCAAACTCTTTTCAAATTGAATCATCCTAGGGTTTCTCCTCCTCTTTCATCTCTCTTCCACTACATCACTAAACCTTGTATGTTTTTACCCTCATAAGTCGATTGCCTCGCGCATCACCATCAACCTACCATATTTAATTCACTACCTTTTCTTTCCAAACTTCTTCTTTTACAATTCTTCTCCTAAAACCTCGGTCCCGTACCGAGTGCATTTTCAAAACTCTTTTCTTGATAAAACTTGAATGGTCGTGGAGTGGTTAGGCGTAGGCCTTCTCCTATCGCGAGTGCTTGACATTACCTTTAGGGTTCACTGTCGTAAAGCGCTTACCAGTCAAGACCAAAAACACTTTTAATAAGAGAATGAAGTTCTCTTTGTATTGAACTAAAGAGAGAGGATTGAGTGCAGACTTCTTCCTCTCCGAGCGTCAGGATACTCACTGTAGAGTGTGTGGTCTCGATACTAGTCTTTCAATACAAAGACATGACTATGTTCACCACACCTTTTCACAATAAATCTTTGAGATAAAGAATTGGGTACTACCCGCAAGGGGTTATTATCCGAGGACTTATTTCAACCCTAAAAATAACCTCCACCAATCAAACATGACATCTTGCCTCGAATGGCGAAAATTAATCTTTCAAAAAGGATATGTTACTCCCGTTCTACCGCAAACAGGTAACGCCTAAGACTCCACAAGCGAGCAGCAATACACCTAAATTGCTAGAATGCGCACGATAGCATCATCCAACAAAAACACCAGTTAACCGTAGGCCGAACTACGAATGCTCTGATTCTCCACTTCTTTTAAGTGAAGATACGTAGGCACAAGGGCCCCAATCCTTGTCGAGCATACTTCTATTTTTATTCGTAGTTCTCCGAACTACGTTGACTCTGACTTTCTCATATTTGTTGAGAATACGTAGGCCTAGGACCGCGAGGTCCTACCGTGTCTCTTCTTCCCCCTTATCTCTCCTTTCCCTATTTCCAACCTTCTTCTCTCTCCCCTAGGAACACTCTTTAAAGCAATACCTTTTAGCAAATATTTCCACACATAGACAAACAAATGGTTCCCATCGAGTACGATGGATGCGAGGGGTGCTAATACCTTCCATTCGCATAACCGGCTTCCAAACCCGTTCTCTTGGTTGCGAGACCATCTTATCCGTTCTTTTCTTAGGGTTTTCTCGATGTTTTCCCTTCCCCTCATGAGTAAATAAAGTTCGGTGGCGACTCTTCTGTCTTTCTTCTCGCCTTCTTTGTCGTTGCATTTTTCGAGTGGCACCAGATGTGTTGGATCAATCATGCCTAGTTGTGGGTCACTTAAATGGTGTGCTAGATTTAAAAGGAGTTATCATGCGAAATCCATTGTTTCTTTTGGCTGACTGTTTAAGGGGGAGGGGAGGGGAGTGATTTTTTAATCAGATAAGTGTTTCGTTCAAAAGAGAGGAGGGGAGGGGAAGAGAGATTTTAATTAAAAATGTGTTTGGTTTAGAAGGGGAGGGGAGGAGTTTTATTAATAATTTACATTTTTATCCTTATGATCTTATATAAGTCATATGATATTAAAATGTGAAAAATTCACGTGTATTTTTGTTGGTTATAAAATATCTAATATTGAGTGATTAAAAAAGTATTTATTTGTCACATAAAATTAAAAAATTGAGTACAATTGATTCGACTTATAACTTTCCAACATAAATTAAACTATATGTCAATAACATCGTTTAAATTGTTATGAATCATATAACAAAACAAATATATGAAATAACTTATTATTAAATATTAATTGGTTCAAAATATTTAATAAAATGAATAAACCAAAATAAATAAAATGAATGGTTTACAATTTGATATAAAAGAAAATATGATAGAATACATAACAAAATTAAAAGAAAAAAACGAATATAACTAAACATAATTTTTTTTATAAAAAAAAGACAATGATTATGATTTATATTAAGTATAGATATTATAAAATAATTTGAAGGTGGAGAACAATTATAATAAGTTGATGAAAACAATCGAGAAAAAGTAATAACACGAAAGAAAACGAATAGTTTTGAAATACTAAAATTAAACTGAGGATATTTTAGTAAATATAATAATTTTTAAATATCAAAACTCATATTCTCTCTCCTCCCTTCCAAATCCCTTCAATTCGTAGGGAACCAAAAAGTGTGTTTTTGAGGGGTTTTGCTCCCCTCCCCTCCCCTCCTAAGATTTGAACCAAACATATTTAATTAAAAATTTCTCCTCTCCTCCCCTCCATCTACCCCGAACCAAAGACACCCTAAGAAGAGATCTTTGAAGTAGAGGACATGTTTGGCCTCATCAAAGTTGTATCTTGGGAATGTTTTGTTTCTCCTAACATAGGCCAAACTATCATTTTTAGTAGAATGGAGTGTAAGTTCACACACATACACACTATGATTAGAAATTCTTTTTAAGCTTTTGATTGCATGTTAGAATGATAAAACAGATCCTGTCCGTCGAACGATCCTTTTTACCTATACCTTTTGCAGAACAAATTAAGATTTTAAATTCATATCCTTTAATGTGTCTGTTCCGTAACAAAAAGATTAAGATTTTAAATTCATATCTTTTAATGTGTCCGTTCCGTAACAAAAAAATTTTACTGACAAATAATTTTATATGTATTTTTGTAAATTTTAGACTCCACAGACAAAAAAAAAAAAAAGTTTACGAATCCGTCCCAACACGTTTGGCCACCATAAAAAAAAAAAAACTTAATGTAAGTCAGAGCATAGTATGCAAAATTCTCACCCCAATTAGTTTTCACCGTACCAGCACAATTTTTCTTATATATAAAAATTACAAATGAAAACATATAATTCTAAAACAAAAATATTCATTCATAATATTAATAATAATATATTACAGGTCTGAAATGGCATACTATAAAATGAAAAGAGAAACTAATAAGCACTCTATAATTAAGGTCCTCCAAATCACTAAAAATAATAAAGCTTAAAAATAAAAGCAAAAACTAACAAGGACTCCTAATAAAAATTAAAGCCCTCGTAATTATTCTTTTAAAAAAACTTAAATTATATTTGATCTCCTAGCAAATAAAAATATCCCAGAAGATCTTGCGGTTGATAAGTAAAGCACACTAATTAAGCAGCGTTTGGCGCGCGGACAAAGTTGATTCCACCAGCTTCCAAAATTGCTGATGTTAAGCGATTCGCTTTAATCGCTTCCTTGTAATCCAAACTCTCATCTTCATACACCTCCCACCACTTCTTCACCAGCATCTTTATATCTTCTCTCTGCATATTCTCCTCCACACCAGTGTACCTCCATGGCTTAGAACCCTGAAATTAACCCAATTTAATAAAATTAAATCTTAAGCTGTAATTATAGAAGTTGTAATCGTTAAATATTGAAAACTTACTGCTGCACAATAATGAACAACTTTAACTTTTTCAAGCTCAACATTCTCAGGATGACGCCACAACATAGCCAGCACAAGATTATAAACATTCGGAATTGGCTTATACTTGTCCTTGAAGTACATGTTCAAAAAATCCTGCAAAACATAAATAAAAAAGTTATTAATCACACTTCATATTCCTAAATCCAATTAAGTGACAAGTTTTAGTAGTACCTGTTCAGCAAAGGAAGTTGGTTTATTGACTCGAAGTTTTTGAAGAAGATCATGATAAGTATTCATATTAGGTTCATAAACAAACATGCCAGCATTGAAGTAAAGAGGTGGTTTGGGACCAAAATTACTAGGCCATTCAACCTTGTCAGGACATTGTTGACAGTAACCGATTTCATACTGCTTAGTATGACCCCACGTGGCCTCACAAAAACAATCCATGACAGCATAGAAATAGTTATTTGGCAAATCAAATAAATGATCAATGTTTTCGAAAACTTGTATATCACCGTCAAGGTAAATCATCTTCTCATATTCCTCAAACTGCAAAATTGAAATTTGTAATTACTATATAATCACACATAATATTAATTAAACATATCAGAGATTATGTATACTTACAGCCCAAATACGTAGTTTGGAGTAGTTGATAACATAATAAGCCATAGCAAACTGGGTTTGGTTCTCAGGTGGGTAAACAGGTTCAATATCTTTAACAATGCAACCCTGTGAGATGAGAATGTTCCGGTGTTCCGCCGGGACATCAGGCAACACTGCAACCACAAGAGGGTACATGGTTTTCACCTTACGGAGACCTTTGGCTAAACCAACAACACCTTTGACGTAGTCGCCGTTTCCGGCAAGAAACGTGACAAAGGCACGTTTTGAAGTCTTGGTTTGAGGGTCGGTGATGGTGGTTGCAGCAGTTACAATATCAGGAGCCATTGTTTCAGTGAGAAAAAAGGTTGAAAGTTTGAAAAGAATGTTTGTTTGGTGATTGTTTTGAATATTGATGTTTGTTGTGTTGGTTTGAGAAATGGTTTGGTTGTTTATATAGAGGTTTCGAGGGTATTTTTGACATTACGTACTCAGTTTTAATCTGACGACTAAAGAGGTGATCTTGGAATTATACGGTGGAGGATGTTGCCTTGCATTTATTATTAATTAATTAAAGATAGAAAATAAAAAACTACTATGGTTATAAAGTTGATACTAAGTTTTGCATAATTTAATTACGAATTAATTAATTACTATTAGCCGATGTTAATGGTTTGATTTTAATAATAAAGTCTTGAACATTGCTACTGTTTCGTGTTAATAATTTTTTCTTTTACAATTTCCATGTTGTTATTTTTTTAGTTGCATATATTTTCCATGTTTGATTAATTCCTTGTAAATCAACTCAACTTACTTTTCTGATGCGTCAAAAAATAACGTCATCTGATATATCAAAAACACTCCTGCATTTAATATAATAAAGGGCTCCTTTTTTCAATTTAAAAATAAAATAAAATAAAATTTTAGTACTGTGGTACATTTTGATATAAATAGCTAGTCTTATTCTTTTATATATATATATATATATATATATATATATATATATATATATATATATATATATATATATATATATATATATATATATATATATATATATATATATATATATATATATATATATATATATATATATATATATATATAATTAATGTTATTAGATTAATTATATAAGGTTTTTTTTTCTAAGGTGGAGATTCTTCAAAATTCAAAAAAATATTGATCGATTTGTCTTGTTTTTAGCACCTACAAAATTTTGTCCAAGATTCTTGCAGAAAGGTAGAAAGGAGCGATAGACAAAGTTATTTCCAATTCTTAAACAGGTTTCGTATTGGAAAGCCAAATCTACAAAGGGGTGGTAGTGGTTAACAAATTATTGATTACGTAAAAAGATTCAATAAGGAGGCTATAGTTTTGAAAGTAGATTTTGAAAAAGCCTTCGACTGCGTGTCTTGGAATTTTCTTCGTTATATGTTTAGAAGACTTGGTTTTGAAGTTAGATGGAATTCTTGGATGGAGGATTGCATCTTCAATACATCTTTCTCTGTTTTGGTAAACGGTAGTCCAACCTCGGACTTTGTTAGATCAAAAGGGTTAAGACAAGGCGATCAACTTTCTCCGTTCCTATTTGTTATTGTTGGTGAAGGTTCGGCGGGTCTAGTATCAAAGGATACAGAATTAGAGTTGTTCAAGTGTTTGAATTGTGGAAATGATTGCTCTTACAACATTCTTCAGTTCATCGCATACGATTCTAACGGGGGAGTGCAGTTAGTAGAATTTATGGTCCTTGAAGGCAATATTTTGGGGTTTTGAATTGGTTTCCAGTTTAAAGGTGAACTTCTCCAAAAGTAAGATCTATGACATTAACACTTCGGAATCCTTTCTTGAAGCTGGTATGGATTTTTTGACCCGTTATACTGTTAAAATTCCATTCATATTTCTCGGTATATCGGTGGGTTTGAATCTTAGAAGGGTTTCTTCATTTTCGGGAGTCATTGATTATCTCAGGTGCAAGCTCTCCTCTTAGAAAGGCAAGTACCTCTATATTGGTAGTAGAATCATTCTTTTAAACTTTACTCTAAATAGTATTCTGATTTTCATGCTGTCTTTTTTCTAAGCTCCTAAAGCGGTTCTGAAGATTATTGTAACGATCCAATCGAGATTCTTATGGCAAGGAGATTATGAAAAGAAAGGCATTGCGTGGTCAAGTTGAAAATATGTTTGTAGATCAAAAAAATTAAGGAAGGTGGTTTGAGAGTGAAAGATATTTCTATAGTAAACAACGCTCTTTTAGCTAAATGGAAAAGGAGGTTCATTAACGAGCGGGAAGCGATATGGAAGGGTATTTTGAATTTAAGATACTGTAATTTGCTACAGGAAGTTTTCAGCCCATCGTCAAAAAACTCTTTGAAGAAATCTTCTATTTGGTGGAGGGATTTGTCGTCAGAGGAATCCAAATTAACCAAGAATCATAATTAGTTTGGTGATTCCATTCGATGCAAGTTGGGTCGTGGTGACAACTTGTTCTTTTGGTGGAATATTTGGTGCAGTGACAAGCCTTTTGGTGTAAGATTTCTAGAATTAATTTCGGAAAATCAAACATTTGCTTCTGTTAGTGATTTAAGTAGCTGGTCTAATAATTGATGGCACTGGAATTCGTCTATTTTTTTCATTTGCAGGTCAGAATAACTCTTCCCAAATTCTAAAGCTACAGGAAGAGTTAGCTTGCTTCTCTCCAGCTAGAAACTCAGAGGATGGTTTCCTCTAGTCCTTGGATCCTTCTAGCAAATTTATGGTGAAGAACTACTACTCTCATCTTTTCAAATTGCAGCTCGAAATTGGAGGAGACTTGAATATCAGACTGCAGCTAAAGAAGCTCTGGAAGACTAAAGCTCCATCCAAAATTCTCATCTTCGGCTGGAGGGCTTTCATCAATAGGCTCCCTTCTAAATTAGAGCTAGACAATAAGGGACTTTTTCATTCTCCTATTGAAATCATGTGTGTCTCTTATTTTGCTGTGAAAGAAGACTTTTTCCATCTCTTAATTTGTTGTCCATTTTCCTTAAGAGTTTGAGAAGCTATAGAAGATTGGTTAGAAATGAATCATATTGTCGAGAGTTCAATTCTAAACTATGCTGAACTTTTTCACTTCAAAATGAGAGGCAAAGCCATCAAGAATAAGAAGCTGTTAATTTGGCTAGCAACTTGTTGGTGTTTGTGGATCCGGCAAAACAACATCATATTCAACAACAATGCAATGGAAAGGGGAGTAGACGAAACTATTTTCTTTATAAAAATTATTTCGTGAAATTGAATTGTAATAGGTCTAAAAAATAGATCAGTTTTGTATTTTTACAATTTGTGGAGAAATTCTATAAATCATCTCAAATTACGATAAATTTGTAATTTGTTTGAGCATGATTCATGCTCCTTTTCAATCTAATCACTTATTTAAAAAAAATTATATAAGGTTATAAGCACTCATTTATAAATTATATCTATTGGATTCATTCACTTTCATAGTTCTCAATTCCTATATATGGTATCAAATTTTTTTTCTTCCGTAATCTTTCTCTTTATTTTTAATCTTGCCTTTTTACTTTTTCATCACGGAAGAATTATTAAGCTCATTGCAACAACCTACTCCAAATGATATTTTCACAATATTGTAAGAATCACCCAGATCGACCTTTCATCAACAAAGTACTAAGTATTTGATACATTTTGAAAGGGAAACTACATGGTAATGTATCAAATATTAATACTTAATACATGTTTCCCTTTCCTACCATGCATTAACAAAGAAATACTCATTAGTACTTCAACAAGAAGGGAAACTACATGGTAATACATGTCAAGGTTCCAAGATTTTGTACATTTCAATTTAAAACTCAAATTAGTCTAACAATGAGGGTAGGATTGGTCATGGAAATAATGGAAGGACTTCTAGCGTAGCAAGAACCCCCAATCCTTGTAGATTTTACTTGTGCTTTCTAGTGTAGAGTTAGTATAGCAAAGCTTGGTCTCACAATTTGTGTTATTACATTAGACCTAAATGTTAGAAGAAACTAAAGAGTCTTGACATTGCATTAACAACTGAGATATGGAGGATTTTTTGAGGAATGATTTTGTGGTTGAGTTGAGTTATATGAATAAGAATGAAAGTTTTGCTAAAAAGGAAAAAGGAAAAATAGTTATTGCGTCATGTGAATAGTTGAACTATCAAGTATATACAAAGGAATAAAATTTATTTCTTAAGACAAATTTTAATTGGAAAATAGGATTGACCCAAATTAATAGGAGAATTGTTATATAAGGAAAATGGAACATTTTTTTTAAGGGGAGGCAAATTCTTGAGATTTGGTTGTGCCACCTTACCTACTTTATCCTGTTTACTTTTATAGTGCGAAGATGAATGTCATTGGTATTTGGAAGACTTGTCATGATTATGTCGATCTAAGTTTTTGGTCATTACTTAAGGTAAGAAAGACATGAGAGTAGGGTTTGAATTGTGTTGATCGATTAACTTTTTTTTTTATAGATATTTTGTATAAGATCAAATTAATAATAAAAGTTGAAAGATAACGAGATAAAGAAAGAGATATTAACACACACAATTTATTTTAATTTATCCTGTTAACTTTAGACTATGCGCAGTTTCTAACAGAGAGATTTACAATATAATCAAACTAATTAAAAATACAGCTAAAATATATCTCTTGGGCCAACTCACTTATATCTTAGTCCCTAACACAATGAACTAATAACAATTGGATCTCTTTGTCATCTCAAATAATATGGCTAAGACTTAACCCTTTGAAAATACAATTCGATAAATGAATAAATAATAGAGTGTTTATACATATTATTCAATAGAGGATGTAAACTACATTAGATACATGTACAAAGTGTTTTGATTTTTAAACACAAAGTGTATATCAATGAAATCAATTGATTGCTTTTTTATTGACTTTTAGTAGAGATTCTTCTCTAAATAATCATCTTTTGAAAGTTTTTCTTTTTCTCTAGTTGATTCTCTATAGTTTGTTCACAAGATTATTTCAATGTTGTATTACATATCTATATGATTCCTTGTGATAAATATAAAATTGCTCCTAGGATATCTTAGAGTTTTTAGGATTTTGTTGTTTGTCTATTTAATTATGCATAAATCATAAATTTGACAAGTCAACGTAAAATTATTCAAGTCAGAAAGTCAATAATTTGAACTAAGAAACTTTTGCATACATGATTCAAGTCAAAAAATTTCCTAACTCAAATCATGGAGTTTCACCTTTCTCGGAATTTTGGTTTTGGAAATGTGACTCAAGTCATATAATCTTTGACTCGAATCATACACAAATTTTTTAATTTGGATTTTCGTGCTC